AGTTTGTGGTTTTTAATGAGAAAGATGAAGAGAATTTATTAGTAAGATTTGTTAAGATAGTCCAAGAATATGCTCCACGTATAATAACCACTTATAATGGAGGCATTTTTGATTTCAGGTACATTGATAAGAGATTACAAAAGTATAAGATATCTTTTTATGATTTAACAGGATATTCAGGTAATAAGGAATACTTCAATTGTTCTTTTATGATACATCTTGATTGTTATAAGTGGGTTAAAAGAGATTCTAGTTTACCATTGATGAGTCAAGGATTAAAGACGGTTTGTAGATTGAGATTAAATTATGAACCGGAAGATATTGACCCAGAAGATTTGATGAGATGTGCTATAGAAGAGCCATTTAGATTGGCAAAATATTCAGTATCAGATTCAGTAGCAACATATTACTTATATATTAAGTTTGTACAAGATCATGTGTTTTCAATGGCACAGTTACTACCTATGAATATGGTTTCAGTATTAATAGAGTCTATGTCTTGTTTGATAGAGTCACTACTTGTTTCACAAGCATCTGCTTATAATGTACTGATCAAATCTAAAGAGATAACAAATTATATTGAATTTCATAAAGACAGGTTTGTAGACAGTAAAAAAATAGTACTTGAAGAATTTGAAACAGTAAACCCTGGTATTTTTAGAGCCGATTTTAAACATAAATTTAGTAATAACGACAAGTTAATAGATTTAATTATTGATGAGGTTGATGAGATATTAATTGATTATAAGAATTATACTGATTATAATTTAGTTAAAAATTTATTGATAGATGATTTAAGAAGATGTAAGGGTAGTTATGATAATTTTGGTAATATTTATCGATTGTCGTTTGATTGTATGTATCCTAATATTATACTGACAAATTACATTCAACCACATGCTATCATCACCGGTAATACACATGATAGATGTGATTTTAATTCAGGTAATAGTAACTGTAATAAGAAGATGAATTGGTTATGTGAATTAGAATGTTATCCGATTGGAAAGACGCAGTTTTTAAAGCTAGGTAAGAATTTAGATCAAGAGATTTTTTACTCCTATGATAATAATAAGGAAGCTAAAGTGAAATTTGATGACTTG